GCATCCCACAGGCCTAGGACTAGGTCTCAGTCTCTTAGTGAGCCTGAGTGGGCACTTCCTCCCCATGTCAGGCTCTGGGAAGACAGTTTCCCTGAAGGGCAGGCCTTTGTTGTGGAGAACAGAATGTTCTGGGCCTATTTCAAATGCCCCCTCACCCACCTGAAACATGATAAGATTCTTCTCTGATCTTCACCAGTGAGAAACCATTGGGCTCCTGTAAGTGAAACTCACAAAGTGTGCCCCAGCCCTCATAGCTGGGGCTCTGGAGCTCTTCCCCTTCCAGCTTGTCCACATTTCCAGCAGTGGTCAGGGCCTGTCATGTGCTCCTGACAGGCTCTGGCAGCTCCTCTGTCCTGCATGCCATGATTCTCTGTGTTTACCTGTGTCTCCAGGTTTCAGGGTGGCAGTCTGCCCTGTAACCTCAGTTCTCAGATGGAGCTACGAAGAGCTGTTGACTTTCAGTTTGTTCAGTTCCTTCCTTGCTGTAAGGATGGGAGCAATGATTTCCAAGTTCCTCATGTGGCACACCAGAAACCTGAAGTCCACGCCCGGACTGTAAGTCATTCCTCTCATGTGGACTTTACTGTGTAGACTTCCTGCTGAACTAGAACTTCCATCCCCCTATAGTCATGTCTGGTCAGTTCTCAAAATCCCTTCACAGTCGTTGCTTGTAGTCCTGTGTGTGCCCAGTCCTCGCCTCCAAGAGCACATGGGCTTCCCTTACACATCCTTGCTTCTCTGCAGAGCACCCCTGTGACGAAGCACTGGCTCCGGTCCTCGGGCTGGAACTAGGAGCTGCCCAAATGCTACTGTTCCGTCTTCTCTGCCGCATGGCCTGGCATTTCCTTCACAAAACCCAAACGTACCCTGCTACCCCTGAAGCCTGGCCTCTCAGAAACTTGCCAGTTCCTGAATCAAGGGTTGGAAGAATAATTAAGTTTACTTCCCCCAGAGCTAAATATTTTACAGGGTAGAGTCAACATCTGAAAGTTATATGTCTCAGTTGGTAAAAATCTAGAGTTCTTTTAAAGCAATATAAAATCAGATTAAGTTATCACAATGAGTACTTATAATTCCTTCCAAGCAATGGTATTCTGTCTTTACAATCTAACCCAGACAATGCAGAGGCCTCTGTCACAACCCCAAGACAACAACACCTCGTCTTAATCATTTTTATAATCCATTACTACATGGCAGCCCTGAATTCCACAGCACCCCATCCCCATCCTGACCCTGAGTATATGCATGCAGGGTCTCCTTCTCTAATCCTACCACTTCATTCTTAGCTCAGACAACAATTAATTTCCCCTTGGAAATATGAAATTAGAATAAACTAGCTAATGTCTTTGCTTCTGAAACACAGTGGTTATACTTTGAAAATAAGAGGAAAGCTTTGCTGAGGAAAAATTAATGAAGCTCAGCTACGATGCTGCCAAATTAAGTGACACCATTGTTCCTCATTAAAATCCAAACAACCTGCCAGCCCCAGAAAAGCAAGTAAGCCGAAGTAAATGCCACAAAATACTTTTTATTTGGCCTAAGAACATTCCTGCCATAGAATAAACCAGATCAATTGAAGTTTCTTTCATCAGGAAAAAAGTACTGAAAATAGTCACATATTACACACTGGATGTCCATACAAACATTCCTGCTATGAAGAGGACAATAATTATCACATCAGCAGGACATACAAACCTGTCCCTCACTGCTAAAGGATTAACTACACACCACCAAACAGCAGTCCCACTTAAGATAGGCACAGGTGGTACGATGCCATCAGTGGAAAAACTGAACAGATGTAAGGTAAGTGACATATGACAGGCCCTCTAAGTCACTCCAGGATGCCCTGAATTAGGTCATCCTTTGTGCAACCATGAAAAACCGAGGAGACAGGGGGCATACCAAACTACGTGCATGTGGTTAAACTGAAGCGGTGTCTGATTTGAGGGGGAATGGAGGATTACTCCCTGCGAAAATAACTGTATCCCCATGGGGGACCAGGTGACAGAGTTCACAAAGGAGTTCAGTTATGTGGGTACCATGGGGACAGAGAGAGGGAGGATATGGAACAGAAAGGGGTGAGAGATTATCAGACACATAGAAGAACCTGACGCTAAAGCTTGGAAGGCCCTGGGAGGAGAAACTAAAAAACAGGCTTTAAACTAGAAGTGGAACAATGTCTTCCACTGTTGCACATTAGTGCCACTTGAGGAAACTGTGTGCAGACAAAATGTCTTAATTATGTATCATGGGCCTCAATTCAGTGCGTGTTGTGTGCATGTTCTACAGAGTTGATTGCCAGAGGCAATAGAAATGGCCTAGAACAGCTTTGATGTCAAAGCCCACAGTCAGAGAAGGTAATTTACTTAACAATGTACCGCTTTTACTAAGGTTTGGCTTTTCAGTAATACTGAAACTATGTGATCAATACTTTCATTCAACAAATGTTTATTGCCATATGCAAAAATGAGGAAAGACACTGTGCTACAACCCTGTAGTAGTTTTGTATTGGTGCCCTAACACATTACACATTTAGAAGCTTAAAAATTATCCATGTACAGCCAAAGATCTGTATGTCAGGGTCCAGCCATGGTGTGACTTGACTAATTCTCTGCTCTCAGGGCTGAAATCAGGTGAAATCAAAGGCTGTGTTCCTGTCATCAGAGGACAAATGACTCAGGTCATTGGCAAAATTCAGCTCCAGGAGGCTGCAGCACTGGGGTCCCCATGTCCTTGCTGGCTGTCGGCCGAGAGCTTCTGGAGGCAGCCTGCATGCTCTGGCTCATGGCCCTGCTCATGGCCAGTAGTGGTGGGTCATGTCTTCAAGTCTCTGACTTCCCTGCTGCCTGTGTCTGGGCATCTCCCACCAGCTCTGAGAGACCCTTCCCCTATTGCTGCTGCCTTTAAGGACTCATATGCTTACATGGGCTCATGAACTTAATCCAAGGTAATCTCCGTATTTTAAAACAAACTGATTCATAATCTCAATAATTCATCTTCAAATCTTTTTCCTGTAGCACAGATCCGAAAACCTTTATAATCCTGGCCATGAGAGCCCTATCACATGCATTGCCTTAATTAATCTCACAGCAACCCCGCGATGAAGTCCAAGTGGAAAGTGAGCCAAATTATCTATTATCTAAATCATGTTTCACCCTACAAAACCTATAGCCTAATCTCAAAATAAACTCCAGAGAGATTAAATAATTAAATGTTTAAAAATGAGGCAAAAACACCATGACTATTCACCTATCCTTGGGATAGTTACAGCATGAAAGAAACAGGATAGCAGTGAGGAAATAAATAGATGAGACATATAATAATTACAAAATTTAAATTAAATTAAAAGGCAAAGCCAGAATGTGGGGAATGATAAATATATGCCAATGACTAACATTCCAATTATGAAAGCACAGAAAAAAGCACATTTTTAAAAAGGCAAAGGAAACTACTTAGATTTCTTTTGTGAATTAACATGTTAGAAAATCTAACCTACTTAGTAACCAAACATATATTGAACCATGGGTTTTCTATCAAATTATTGGTAGAAAACATTTTTGTTAGTTTTTTAGAATGGTCAATGCTACCAATGTATTATTAGTGGAGTAGACCACTAAATGATGAAGGAGGCCTATTAGTATTTGGGCAATTCATATTTGAACTCTTTACTGAGGAAATAAAATTCAGACAATGACATTCATAATAAAACACTGGAGAACTTTGAGTAAGGACAGCATTTTTAAAACCATGTAGTAATGTTGCTCAGAAATTACTCTGGCTCTTCAAGATACTTTTATTGATATGCGGAATGCTCATGACTTGATAATAATGGGACAGCAGAAAGGCACACTGCCCATTAAGATGGGGCAGGTGGTTATACAAGCTTCAAGGCCAACATCTGAAGCTGAATTCTGGCCAGTGAACGGCCCCACAGCTTTGGGCAGTCCTCAGGCCGATTCTAGATTTCCATATGTAGGTGCAAGAATACCACTTAGCTCTCAGGGCTACGTTCTGATTTAGACGAGAATGACAGTGAGGTCTGTGTGATCCTGTAGGCCCACTAATCAAGTACCTGGCAGCAGTTCTCATCAGCACACCTTAGACAATTCTGGAAAATGTCTACTGTGGGTCCCTGCATTAGTTTCCTGCGGCTGCTATGACTAAAGTGCCACAAAGTAAGGTAAAAACAACAGAAATTTGTTCTCCCGCAGTTCTAGAAACCAAGAGCTGGAAAACAAGGTGTCAGCAAGGCTGTCTCACCCAGTGGCTCTGGGGAAGAATCCTCCTGGCCTCTTTCAGGTGCTCCCAGCATGGGGCTGCCTCATCCAACCCTGTACCTCAGCCTTCACATGGCCTGCTCCTCTTCTCCCATGTGTCTGTGTTCTCTGCATTCTGTCTCTTCCAAGGACTTGTCACTGGAATTGCAGCCCAACCAGGGGGTGATAATCCAGGTTGATCTCATCTCAAGATCCTTAATTTAATTACATTGGCAGTGACCTATTCCCACATAAGTCCATATTCACAGGCTCCAGGGGTTCAGATGTGTACCTATCTTTTTGGGGGCCACCAGCAGACCCATCACAGCCCCTCACCTTTAATTCCTTTTCAGTGGCAGAGTTAGCGGAGGGCTTTATACTCTCACATGTGGAACTTACTGTTGATTCAGCATTCCGCATCAGCTAACTTCCTATAGGAAGCTGGAAGTAACTTTACATCAGACTTGTTAGGCAGCAGGATGGATGTGCACCACACATCCCTAGGCTTCAACAGACCACCAAGCCGAAAGCCAGGGAGCCACGCAATAGTGAAGTTAGACATTCACACTGTCACAACCATTTTTTATCACAGTCACTAGGACAGTGCCCTGTAAGCAAATAAGACCCATTTCACAGACACAACACCAATGTACTGTGCCCAAGTCAGAAGGCTTACTATGAGGGCTGGCTGCTCTGGCGCACCCACCAAACGGGCTGAGTGGTAGCAATGCACGTCTCGCTCACCTTCAATGTAGAGGGGCTCCACCACATCATGGTTTATCAGCTCAAAGTTCTCATGGCCGATCCAGTGTTCCACATTTCTCTTCCTGCCTGTGAAGAAGTTGTCCACCACAGTCACCTCATGGCCATCCATCATGAGTTTGTCAGTGAGATGGGAACCCACAAACCCTGCTCCTCCAGTGATCTGCATCAGGACAGGGCATAAAACATCCTCAGAAAAAGCACAAGAGGACATGGTCACAACCAACTTCAGTGAGATACATCTCATGTGCAGTCACAACTTCGGGCTTGGGAGTGGGGTGGGCCAGGAGGATGGGGAAGGTTGTAAAGGAGCATTTTTACTCTTATTCCATAGCAAGAGGTTATACTACATCAACTTGTCAGCAGCCTACAAACTTAAACTACCACCCAGAAAGCGATACAGAAAACTAGTAAAGTTTCAAGATGTCCTCTTTGACAAGGGATTTTTACATTACAAAAAGGTGTTTTATAATGGATGGGATGCTGAACATCATTTATGTAGACCTAATACTACTGTCACACACTTTTAGAATTACTTCTTTTAAAAAAAGTGATTAGCGAGACAACCAAGAAGGCGGCATGAGTAGAGCAGCGGAAATCTCCTCCCAAAACCATATATATTTTTGAAAATACAACAAATACAACTAATCCTAAAAGAGAGACCAGAAGACACAGGACAACAGCCAGACTACATCCACACCCGCGAGAACCCAGCGCCTGGCGAAGGGGGTAAGATACAAGTCGCGGCCCGGCGGAACCCGAGGCCCTTCACCCCAGCTCCTGGCGGGAGGAGAGGAGTCAGAGTGGGGAGGGAGAAGGAGGCCCAGGACTGCTGAACACCCAGCCCTAGGCATCCGCACCAGAGTGCAGACACACAGTGCATGCATGGGGTGCTGGATACTAGGGAAGCAGGACAGTAAGACCTGTGAGCGGGTCCCCGCAGCTGGCGTACCTGGGACAAAAAAAAGCAAATGCTTTTTGGAAGTCTTAAAGGGACAGGGACCACACAGCTGGACGGAAGTGCCCAAGGACACTTAGCCCAGCAGCTGGGAATCCCGGGGAACTCTGGGCGCCTGAACCCCAGCAGCACAGCTCGGAGGCCACTCACTGTGATAAACAGCCTCCTGCCTGTTCCCGCTCCGATGCGGTTCCGTCATATTGGAGAAGCAGCCTGAGGCAGGCCATGCCCACAGCAACTGCAGAGCTAAATAAACTCCATAGCAGGTGGGCAAGATCAGAAGCCCTGTCTGCACGCAGCTACCCAGCACAAGCCGCTAGAGACCGCTGTTCTCCCAGGAGAGGAAGGCCACAAGCTGGCAAGAAGGGACTTTCTCTTACCCAACACACACGCCAGCTCCCCACAAATATATCTATCGCCATGAAAAGGCAGAAGAAATTGATACAGACCAAGATCACAGAGGCAAACACTGAGGAGGAGATAGACCTAACCAGTCTTCCTGAAAAAGAATTAAAAAAATAAAGCTCATAACCATGCTAATGGAGCTGAAGAGAAATATGCAAGAGCTAAGGGATGATGTGTAGAACATTACAGAAATGAAACAATCTCTGGAAGGATTTATAAACAGAATGGATAAGATGCAAGAGGCCACTGATGGAATAGAAACCAGAGAACAGGAACGCATAGAAGCTGACGCAGAGAGAGATAAAAGGATCTCCAGGAATGAAACAATATTAAGAGAACTGTGTGATCAATCCAACAACATATATCCACATTATAGGGGTACCAGAAGAAGAAGAGAGAGAAGAAGGGATAGAAAGTGTATTTGAAGAAATAATTGCTGAAAACTTCCCCAAACTGGGGGAGGAAATAATCGATCAGACCATAGAAGCACACAGATCTCCCAAAAGAAGGGACCCAAAGAGGACAACACAGACACATAATAATTAAAATGGCAAAGATCAAGGACAAGGACAGAGTTTTAAAGGCAGCTAGAGAGAAGAAAAAGGTCACCTACAAAGGAAAACCCATCAGGCTATCATCAGACTTCTCAACAGAAACCTTACAGGCCAGAAAAGAATGGCATGATATATTTAATGCAATGAAAGAAAGAGCCTTGAACCAAGGATACTATATCCAGCATGACTATCATTTAAATATGAAGGAGGGATTAAACAATTCCCAGACAAGCAAAAGTTGAGGGAATTTGCCTCCCACAAACCACCTCTACAGGGCATTTTAGAGGGACTGCTCTAGATGGGAGCACTCCTAAGACTAAATAGATAGTCACCAGAGAAAATAAAATCACAGCAAAGAAAGCAGACCAACCAAATATTAACTAAAGGCAAAAAATAAAATCAACTACCCACAAAAGCAGTTAAAGGAAGCACAAAAGAGCACAGAATAAAACAACCAACATATAAAGAATGGAGGAGGAGGAATAAGAAGGGAGAATAATAAAGAATGACCAGACAGTGTTTAAAATAGCTCAATAAGTGAGTTACGTTAGACAATAAGATACTAAAGAAACTAACCTTGAACCTTTGGCAACCATCAATCTAAAGCCTGCAATGGCAATAAGTACATATCTTTCAATAATCACCCTAAATGTAAATGGACTGAATGCACCAATCAAAAGACACAGAATAACAGAATGGATAAAAAAGCAAGACCAATCTCTATGCTGCTTACAAGAGACTCACCTCAAACCCAAAGACTATAGGAACAAAGAAAGACTGAAGGAACAAAACAGCAGCAGAATCATAGAACCTAAAAATGGACTAACAGTTACCAAAGGGAAAGGGTCTGGGGAGAAAGGGAGGGAAAGGAGGAATAAGGGTGGGGAAAAAGAAAGGGGACATTACGATTAGCAGACATAATGTGGGTGAGGGCCATGGGGAGGGCTGTACAACACAGAGAAGACAAGTAGTGATTCTACAGCATCTTACTACGCTGATGGACAGTGACTGTGGTGGGGTTTGTGGGGGGATTTGGTGAAGGGGGGAGCCTAGTAAACATAATATTCTTCACGTAATTGTAGATTAATGACAACAAAATAAATTAATTAATTTAAAAAAAGTGATTAGCAACAAGCAGACATTTGATGAACTACCAAAAAAATTTTGTGATATTTAAATCAGAATCAAAAACTTCAGAAAAACTAGTATCTTTCAAACTGTGGATATGAACAAATAAATAAACCTTAGATACTACTTGTAGACAAAAGCCCTAAATGATTAAGTTTCGCTGTTTAGTTAACATCTGAGTGGGAGTGCTGACACTACAGAGTGTTGACCACTCAGTTAAACAGTGAAATGATGCAGCCCAGAGGGGCCCAGAAAGCCAGGAGTTCAGCAGCAAACGTGAAAAGGCAATTATGAGTAAAAACATTTTTAAAGACTAATAAAAATACTTTATTCAAACTAAATGGTATAAGCAGATGGGGTTAGGTAAAGCATATTTCATTTTTGGGAGGTGGGAGTGAAAAGATCAAACTCAGAAAACAGAAGTGCAGTGTGAAATTACATTCCCCATCCAGTCCTGCCCTATTCTCCACTCTGTCTTTTGCATTTAGCTCATCTTCCTGTCCCAAATGGAAAAAATTAACAGTAAGAAAAACCCACACCACTTCTTACCTAAAATGAAAAGCCCATAAGTTCCCAGGGTCTATGATTTTACATTTAATTTGCCATGAAATCCTCTGCTCAAACAAAAAAATCTGACAAAAATTCTGTGTTTACCCCAGGTAAGAGCAAACCTGGCTGGTTGAAGGACGCAAATTTGGGGACCCCAAGAAGTACCATTTGTCAACTACCAACCAGATATTTATATATGCTCTGATGAAAACACAAACAAAATCGTTAGAAGGTACATGGTTTAAAAGTTCTGATGCTCAATAGCTTTCAATCAGCTAAGTGCATTCTTTATGAGAATAGCATTTTCTAAATCCCCTGTTCTTTATACAGATTAAAAACTGAACCACAAGAACTGAGAGCTTGATCAATATCCCAGGTCATAATAATGACAGATGCAAACCACAGTCTTCCTAATTTTACATTCTCTTTACTACATGCCCATTTGTCTGCTTCATGTTTTTTATCTTTAACACTTCTATATTTTACCTGTATACCTAAACAGTGATTTGAAAAAAAAGAACTTTGTAGAAAAATAACTGAATTTCAAATCTGGCTAACCACTAGTCCTTAATTAACTCAGTGTGAGATTTCATATTACTCCGTGCCTTTGCCTTATTGCATTTTTCCGAGCCTCCTACAGTTTTTAAATCAGAAAAGTTGTGTATTTTTAAAAGAAATTAAACTTTTATGTATATACAAATGTTTCTTAAAATAAGATGTTCTGCAGCACTTGAACTTTATTTCTGTCCCTAAAATAACTGAGTGACAACTCAGAACAATCAGAAATGAAGTATATTAAATTACACACGATTGCCTTCAACATTTCACCAGTTTTAGCAGTGACATAAAATTGTTGGGAGCATCTTAGCGTTGTTTAAAATGAACTTGGATTGTTTTCCTTGAATAATTCCTTTCTACCTAAAATACCTAAAGATTTACATAACAACTAGGTGGTTATAAAATGTTTTTCCTAATCAATTTCAGCTCATTAGGCAAGCATTTCAAACAGAAATAAAACTGGCAGAGGCTATCACTCATAAGCACTTCCTTAGGAAAACTAATCACCAAACCCAAGCATATCAGAGGGGCCCAGAAAGCCAGGAGTTCAGCAGAAAACGTGATAAGGCAATTGTAAGTGAATAATGTGGGTGTTTGCTCTTTGAATAATAAAGAGCAAACACCCAAAAGATAGCTGGAAGAAAATACATAAGACTTCTAACAGTTAAATGGATTAGAGCTTACACAGCTTCACATGGCTCATGAACCCATCTCAATGTACTGGAACTGCTTGCTTTGTGGGCCTTAGATACTGCTAATAGGCAGCCAATGTGGTCAAGTTCAAGGTCAACATTCAAACTCATGCTTCTCAGTAAATCAGCAAAAAGAATGTCTTTTCAAATAAAGCTCTTCTTTGTACTAAGGTTTCAACAATGACTGAAAAGACTAAATTTTAGCAATATATGCTGGACATGGACACCAAATGACTCTGAAATGTGGTTTAACCTAGGAGATAGCAGATGAGCAAAAAACACAAGTCCACTTACTGTGGTCATGTGTGAAGTGAAATGA